TCCTCTGCTGGATGTCCTGACTCATGATGCATTGTGGGTCCTCTGCTAGATGTACTGACAAATGATGCATTGTGGGTCCTCTGCTGGATGTCCTGACACATGATGCATTGTGGGTCCTCTGCTAGATGTACTGACACATGATGCATTGTGGGTCCTCTGCTAGATGTACTGACACATGATGCATTGTGGGTCATCTGTGACCTGACACATGATGCATTGTGGGTCCTCTGCTAGATGTCCTGTCACATGATGCATTGTGGGTCCTCTGCTAGATGTACTGTCACATGATGCATTGTGGGTCCTCTGCTAGATGTCCTGACACATGATGCATTGTGGGTCCTCTGCTGGATGTCCTGACACATGATGCATTGTGGGTCCTCTGCTAGATGTCCTGACACATGATGCATTGTGGGTCCTCTGCTAGATGTCTTGACACATGATGCATTGTGGGTCATCTGTGTCCTGACACATTATGTATTGTGGGTCCTCTGCTTGATGTCCTGACATATGATGCATTGTTGGTTCTCTGCAGAATATCCTGATACATGATGTATTGTGGGTCCTCTGTGTTCTGACGCATGATGTATTGTGGGCCCTCTGTGTTCTTTCACATGATGTATTGTTGGTCCTCTGCTGGATGTCCTGACACATGCTGTATTATGGGTCCTCTGTGTCCTGACACATGATGCATTATGGGTCCTCTGCTAGATGTCCTGACACATGATGTATTGTGGGTCCTCTGTGTCCTGATACATGATGCATTGTGGGTCCTCTGCTAGATGTACTTACACATGAATTATTGTGGGTCCTCTACTGGATGCCCTGACACATGATGCATTGTGGGTTCTCTGCAGAATATCCTGACACATGATGTATTGTGGGTCCTCTGTGTCCTGACAAATGAGGTATTGTGCGTCCTCCGTGTCCTGACACATGCTGTATTGTGGGTTATCTGCTGGATGTCCAGACACAAGATGTATTGTTGGTCATCTATGTCCCGACACATGATGTATTGTCGGTCCTCTGTTAGATCTCCTGACACATGAAGGATTGTCGGTCCTCTGTTTGATGTCATGACACATGATGCATTGTGGGTCCTCTGCTTGATGTCACGACACATGATGCATTGTGGGTCCTCTGCTTGATGTCATGACACATGATGCATTGTGGGTCCTCTGCTAGATGTCATGACACATGATGCATTGTGGGTCAACTGCTAGATGTCATGACACATGATGCATTGTGGGTCCTCTGCTTGATGGCATGACACATGTTGCATTGTGGGTCCTCTGCTTGATCTTATGACACATGATGTTTTGTGTGTCCTCTGTGTCCTGACACATGATGCATTGTGGGTCCTCTGCTTGATGTCCTGCCACATGATGCATTGTGGGTCTTCTGTTTGATGTCATGACACATGATGCATTGTGGGTCCTCTGCTTGATGTCATGACACATGATGCATTGTGGGTCCTCTGCTTGATGTCATGACACATGATGCATTGTGGGTCCTCTGCTTGATGTCATGGCACATGATGCATTGTGGGTCCTCTGCTAGATGTCATGACACATGATGCATTGTGGGTCCTCTGCTTGATCTCATGACACATGATGTTTTGTGTGTCCTCTGTGTCCTGACACATGATGCATTGTGGGTCAACTGCTTGATGTCCTGCCACATGATGCATTGTGGGTCTTCTGCTTGATGTCATGACACATGGTGCATTGTGGGTCCTCTGCTAGATGTCATGACACATGATGCATTGTGGGTCCTCTGCTAGATGTCTTGACACATGATGCATTGTGGGTCCTCTGCTTGATGTCATGACACATGATGCATTGTGGGTCCTCTGCTAGATGTCTTGACACATGATGTACTACGGGTCCTCCTTTCAAACAATACGTTGTGTCAGGGTGCAGGGGTGTGTTGCAGGGTGCAGGGGTATGTTGCAGGGTGCAGGGGTATGTTGCAGGTTGCATGTGTATGGTGCTGGTGTGTGTTGCAGTGTGCATGTGTATGGTGCCGTGGTATGTTGCAGCGGTGTGTTGCTGAGTGCAGGTGCAGGTGTATGGTGATGGGGTGAGTTGCAGGGTACAGGGGTATGTTGCAGGGTGGAGGCTTATGGTGCTGTGGTGTTTTGCAGGGTGCAGTTGTATGGTGCAGGGTACAGGGGTATGTTGCAGGGGTGTGTTGCAGGCTGCAGGGGTAACTTGCAGGGTACAGGGGTGTGTTGCAGGTTACAGGGGTATGTTGCAGGGTGCATGTGTATGGTGCTGGGTGTGTTGCAGGGTGCATGTGTATGGTGTTGGGGTATGTTGCAGCGGTGTGTTGCTGGGTGCAGGTGCAGGTGTATGGTGATGGGGGGTGTTGCAGGATACAGGGGTATGTTGCAGGTTACAGGGGTATGTTGCAGGTTACAGGGGTATGTTGCAGGGTCCAGGGGTATGTTGCAGGGGTGTGTTGCTAGGTTGAGGTGTTTGGTGCTTTGGTGTGTTGCAGGGTGCAGGATTTTGTTGCTGGGAGCGGCTGTATGGTGATGGAGTCTTTTGCAGGATACAGGGGTATGTTGCAGGGTGGAGGCTTATGGTGCTGTGGTGTTTTGCAGGGTGCAGTTGTATGGTGATGGGTGTGTTGCAGGGTGCAGGTGTATGGTGATAGGTGTGTTGCAGGGTGCAGGTGTATGGTGCTAGGGTGTGTTGCAGGGTGCAGGTGTATCTTGCAGGGGTGTGTTGCAGGCTGGAGGTGTATCTTGCAAGGATGTGTTGCAGGGTGCAGGTGTATGTTGCTGGGGTGTGTTGGAGGGTTGAGGTGTATGGTACTGGGGTGTGTTGCAGGGTGGAGGTGTAGCTTGCAGGGGTGTGTTGTAGGGTGGAGGTGTATGGCGCTGGGTGTGTTGCAGGCTGGAGGTGTATGTTGGTGGGGTGTGTTGCAGTTGTGCGTCGCAGGGTACAGGGGTATGTTGCAAGGGTGTGTTGCAGGGTGCAGCTGTATGGTGCTGGGGTGTGTTGCAGGGTGCAGGTGTATGGTGATGGGTGTGTTGCAGGGTACAGGTGTATGGAAATGGGTGTGTTGCAGGGTGCAGGGGTATGTTCCAGGGTGAGTTGCAGGGTGGAGGTGTATCTTGCAGGGGTGTGTTTGCAGGGTGCAGGTGTATGGTGATGGGTGTGTTGCAGGTGCAGGGGTATGTTGCAGGGTGTGTTGCAGGGTGCAGATGTAGGGTTGCAGGGTACATGGGTATGTTGAAGGGGTGTGTTGCTGGGTGCAGGTGTATGGTGCTGGGGTGTGTTGCAGTGTGCAGGTGTATGGTGATGGTTGTGTTGCAGGGAGCAGGGGTATGTTGCAGGGTGGAGGTGTATCTTGCAGGGGTGCGTTGCAGGGTGCAGGTGTATGGTGATGGGTGTGTAAAAGGGTGCAGGTGTATGGTGCTTGTGTGTGTTGCAGGGTGGAGGTGTATGGTAAAGGGGTGTGTTGCATGGTGGAGGTGTATCTTGTAGGAGTGTGTTGCAGTATGGAGGTGTATGTTGCAGGGGTGTGTTGCAGGGTGCAGGTGTATGTTGCTGGGGTGTGTTGGAGGGTGGAGGTATACGGTACTGGGGTGTATTGCAGGGTGGAGGTGTACCTTGCAGGGGTGTGTTGCAGGGTACAGGGGTATTTTGCAAGGGTGTGTTGCAGGGTGCAGGTGTATTGTGCTGGGGCGTGTTGCAGGGTGCAGGTGTATGGTAATGGGTGTGTTGCAGGGTGCAGCTGTATGGTGCTGGGGTGTGTTGCAGGGTGGAGCTGTATAATGCTTGGATGTGTTGCAATGTGCATGTGTATGGTGCTGGGGCGTGTTGCAGGGTGCAGGTGTATCGTGCGGGGGGAGGGGGGCGGGTGTTGCAGGTAGCAGGTAGAAAGTGAAGGGGGAGGGTGCAGGGTGCAGAGGTATGTTGCAGGGTGCAGGAGTTTGGTTCTTAGGTGTGTTGCAGGGTGCAGGTGTATGGTGCCGGGGTGTGTTGCAAGGTGCAGGTGTATTGTGGTAGGGTGTGTTGCAGGGTGCAGGTGTATGGTGCTGGGGTGTGTTGCAGGGTGCAGGTGTAAAGTGCAGGGTACAGGTGTATGGTGCTGGGGTGTGTTGCAGGGTACAGGTGTAAAGTGTAGGGGTAGGGTGTAGGGTGCAGGGGTAGGTCGGAGGGGTATGCTGGCGGGTGCAGATGTATGGGGCAGGGGTATGTCAGTGGGGTATGTTGGAGCGTGCAGGTGTGTGGGGCAGGGGTATGTCAGTGGGGTATGTCAGTGGGGTATGTTGCAGCGTGCAGGTGTGTGGGGCAGGGGTATGTCAGTGGGGTATGTTGCAGTGTGCAGGTGTGTGGGGCAGGGGTATGTTGGCGGGTGCAGGTGTATGGGGCAGGGGTATGTCAGTGGGATATGTTGGAGCGTGCAGGTGTATGGGGCAGGGGTGTGTCAGTGGGGTATGTTGCAGCGTGCAGGTGTATGGGGCAGGGGTATGTCGGAGAGGTATGTTGGAGCGTGCAGGTGTGTGGGGCAGGGGTATGTCAGTGGGTTATGTTGCAGGGTGCAGGTGTAAAGTGCAGGGTGCAGGGTGCAGGTGTACGGTGCTGGGGTGTGTTGCAGGGTGCAGGTGTAAAGTGCAGGGTGCAGGTGTATGGTGCTGGGGTGTGTTGCATGGTACAGGTGTATGGGGCAGGGGTATGTTGAAGCGTGCAGGTGTATGGGGCAGGGGTATGCCAGTGGGGTATGTTGCAGGGTGCAGGAGTATGATTTAGGGGTATGAAATACTCAACTGTACACAGGGATTTGAAGTCCGAGGCCAGTATTATTTACGTTAGTGATTTTTTTAAACGTTACTTTGAACAAAATGTTCAGTTCTACCACGACGCGTTAGCTCGATTTTTGGGGAAATCCCAATTTCATACATGTGATCATAGTTTTCTGGCGCGCCCAAGGGACGCAACTCTACATAATGAATTGCATCCCCTTCGTTGACTGGGCCACCCTTGTGTCTCGTTGAAGTAATACAGGCGAATAGAGGCTCAGGTAAACGGGACGAGCGTAAACCTGTGTTTACTGACAGTATCTGTGTAGTGTTGAGGTCATTTTATAAAGGTCTGATAACAGATACAAGAGGATTTGTGTACCTTTACAGATAATACCTCGAGGGTAGAGGGTGACGAGCCGGGAGCCTGAACGACGACCCCACTACATCCTTCCCCTGGGAACGCGTGCAGATACCGTGAGACTTGGGCGTCGATGAGATCTCAGTGGAAGTGGCTCGGCGACAGGAGACAGTCACGTTGTCACCAATCATCTTTTAATAAGGGATCAATGTCACTCGTGTTTGGCTAGTTAGGGGACGCTACAGGTGATGCCTGGCGACGATTGCAAGAGGGTCGCGCTATCCAGTTTCACAAAAGCAGCTTTCGTGGTGGCACTTGTGTGAGATGTGGTCGGTGTACGTGCAAGTATATCTCAGCAAGGAGCAAGCTTGAACCCGTGACGTAACGCTTCAATAGATTGAAAACGTCAATCGGCTCGCAGAGCGGCTTACAGGTATATGGGCGGACTGTGTAAAGTGACCGGGATGGTATCGTGAGTCGGTCTGTGCCGGGCGATTATCTTACTGTCCCTAATCTGGAGACGGGAATTTAAGGATAGGGCATACCACAGTGAAGACTCGTGAAGCGGAACGGTTGTGTGTGTGGAGCGGCATAATAGTGACAGACATACTACTGCATGTATCTCGGCATGCCATTGTGTCGCCAGGGCTGCTTCCGGCTTGGTGTGAAGTTTGATCAGCGTTATATCGAGGTGTAGGAGAAATCGGTGGGTGTTGTGCTTGTCCTTGCTACAGCCGGGCTGTTGACACTGACAGACTCGTGTTGTTGGCACTGTTCTCAAAGTATTCTGTCAGTTTGTCGTAACTACATTTGTCGGTATCCATTCGACGCTGCCTTGTGAGTACGTGTTCCGAGCGCTTGAAAAACCACACGGACCTCGTCTAAAGTGAAATGTACACAGGGAGCTAAGTCCCAGTGAGCTAGCTGTAGCCAAGGTAAACGGGGACTTCCGCATTAGGCTGTCCGATACTCCCTCGGGTAGGTTGTGGAGGAGCGCCGACAACCGTCTCCCTACTGGCTTCTCACCCCCTCGCCACACTGATCACCGCGCGTTACCGAGCGCCATTGATTGTATTACCTGGATTTGTGGACGGCTGATTGAAGGTGCAACCGACGCGGGATGTCCCACAGGTGGGTCGGAGGAGGGTACTCGCAGTGATGCCTGCTTCAGCGTCATGCTGCATGACGACGTGCCACAGTGTCGTTGTCGTCGTCGGAAAGTGTGGAGCTTCACGTGAGGCTGAATTCTAATTAAACGTTACTGGAATTGTTCAACGTGTGGCTGACATGGGCAAGAGATACACTCGGTGGAATCAATACCTGAACACATGTAGGACTGCCCACTCGGGAGGTACGTCAGGTTAGCGCCCGCCTCGCCTTTCATGTTTAAATCCAGAACAGAATCAGACAAAAGGTTTAATCACGTCTGTTAAATTACTTTACGTGTATAAATATTGGATGTGTCGCTGACACGTTCACAATTGAGGGAGAAATTTGTCAGGAACACTTTATGTGTGTGGGAATAACGAGTGATACATATTGGAATCGGCCGTTCTGATGAAATGACGAATGATGTCAGTGGTTGTCTTGATATACCTGTGTTGAACAATGACATGTTCACATGAGACTTCAACTAGTGGCGTAGGAAGAACACATACACAGACACTTGGTGACTGCGATGAAAGCACGTGGATCTCTGTCCATAGACATTGATAATGCGTATTCACCTCCGATACGGTCTGCTGCTGGGGACGGTGTTTGTTTTGCTGGTTGTGGGGAAGATATACCACTTCGTCAGTACAACTACTCACCGGACAGACAGCCTCAAGAGAGTGTACATCAACCATGGACACCCAAAGGACGACAATGCTTTAATTACGAAATATGGTACGAATGACCTTCGACTGGCAGGGGAGCTGGGGAGGGGCGTTGTCCTTGCACCCGAGGAAAAGCGACGGGCGGAGTGGGCGATGAAGAAATACCGGCTGAACGTCTACGCCAGTGACATCATTCCCCTCAACAGACTTGTCCCGGACTCAAGGCCAGTCGGGTAGGTAGCATCTGTGTACACCTGTGATATCATGTATGTAAGTCGTGCATGTCATCCACGTTCATCTCTTGTTTACAACGCCATTATCCGAGACATTCTTGTTACATAATCGTCTGGGCGGAGAACCCTTTGTGGGGTGCTGGGCCTGCTCGGGTCGTTGTGTTGTTCAGGTCGTGGGTTCCCATGGTTACACGGGCGATACACCATCATGTTTCAATAATACTGTAGTAAAATAGGTTTTGCTATAAGGCGGGGACGACTGTCCCCGACTGGGTCAGTGTCGAGAAACAGACCCGAACCAGTTGTGTGGAAAATAGGCACTTTAACTACTGAGCTACAGCAATGGAACCTTCTGCTGGAGTGTTACAAGGTATACAGGACGGGGAGGGATTGCCGCAGTTTCCACACTAAACTATCGTTAGCGTAATTGATTTGTAACAAACTGTTATATTCAGCCTCCACCACAACATAAAGACGATGCGGCTGAATGACATTGTTTCCCGATAGCTTCATGCTACCATGGTTACAGAGTGGCGCCCCTTAGCTATTAATAGACCGGTTGGTTGTGGATTGGTCTGGGTATACTTCAGATTGTTTCATAAAACCGAAACACCATGACACACCGTGACATCCCATGACACACCGTGACATCCCGTGACACACCGTGACATCCCGTGACATCTCGTGACACAACTAAAACAGCTTCACAGCAGCGTCAGAACCAACTCGATCTGGAAGCTGGAACTGCCTTCTGTTGCGCTGGGCGCCACGATTCGCTTTGCAGAGTTGCGCCCCTTGGGCACGCCAGACACCTATGATTATGGATTCGAATCCCGGTTCGCCTCGATTGTGTTTCTAGGTTTGTCAGCACCATACCCATGCTCGTGGGTTTCACTGGTAAGTGGTAAAAGTCTGAGACCTGCATCATTTCTGGCTTTCCTCCCACATTAAGCTGATACGCCGCGATATAACCGGAATACTGTTAAAAGCGGCGTTAAACTCAACTCAAGAGAAAGAGAAAGAGTGTGTCACTGCCGCAGTTCGCTGTGTAGAATGCATCCATCCCCCTAGGCTCGTCACAAAACTATGATCGTAGGGTCGAATCCCAGGTTTGTCAGCTCCGTATCCATGCTCGTGGGTTTCACCAAAGTGGTATACGTCAGAGACCTGCATCACTAGCTTTCCTCCCACTTCAAGAATAGGTGTTCGGCAACCCTTTGCTTGTCATAAAAGGTGACTATGCTTGTCGTAAGAGACGACGAACGGGATCGGGTGGTCAGGTTCGCTGACTTGGTTGATGCATGTCACTGTATCCCAATTGCATATATCAATTCTCATGATGTCAATCACTTGATGGTGTTGTCCAGAAGCGATTATTTACAGACCGCCGTCATGTAGCTGGAATATTGCTGATAGCGGCGTTAAGCTACAAACAACAGACAAACAAACCCACATCAAACTGCCATGCCGCAAGATATAGGGAATACCGTGCAAACCACCCTCACTCACTCAACCATACAGCGATAGTCACCTTACATTCAGGGTTACATCAGATGTGATAATTGCACCCGATTGGGGGACTAAAGCCACGCATACCACAGCGCGGACGCCCGACTACGTAGCTGGGAATTGTCAGTACTTGCTGCTGCTTGATGGCCAGTGGTAGTAGCATCAACAACCGCTAACTTGCAGCCTAGCACAGGAGAATGGCGTTAAACGAATTAGTGAAATGAGTGTCGGTTTGTCAGGGCGGTCAATAACTGACGCGATGTTAAGGATGTGTCTATCCCATTTCAGGGTGATCAATGAGCCCATGTGTCCTTCTCGGGCCAGTGTGTGCTATATTCCCATATAGGTGTACACAGTGACCCTCTATTGTCAGTGTGTGCTATATTCCCATATAGGTGTACACAGTGACCCTCTATTGTCAGTGTGTGCTATATTCCCATACAGGTGTACACAGTGACCCTCTATTGTCAGTGTGTGCTATATTCCCATATAGGTGTACACAGTGACCCTCTATTGTCAGTGTGTGCTATATTCCCATACAGGTGTACACAGTGACCCTCTATTGTCAGTGTGTGCTATATTCCCATACAGGTGTACACAGTGACCCTCTATTGTCAGTGTGTGCTATATTCCCATATAGGTGTACACAGTGACCCTCTATTGACAGTGTGTGCTATATTCCCATATAGGTGTACACAGTGACCCTCTATTGTCAGTGTGTGCTATATTCCCATATAGGTGTACACAGTGACCCTCTATTGTCAGTGTGGTATATATTCCCATATAGGTGTACACAGTGACCCTCTATTGTCAGTGTGTGCTATATTCCCATATAGGTGTACACAGTGACCCTCTATTGTCAGTGTGTTCAATATTCCCATACAGGTGTACACAGTGACCCTCTATTGTCAGTGTGTGCTATATTCCCATATAGGTGTACACAGTGACCCTCTATTGTCAGTGTGTGCTATATTCCCATATAGGTGCACACAGTAACCCTCTATTGCCAGTGTGTGCTATATTCCCATATACGTGTACACAGTGACCCTTTATTGTCAGTATGTGCTATATTCCCATATAGGTGCACACAGTGACCCTCTATTGCCAGTGTGTTCAATATTCCCATATAGGTGTACACAGTGACCCTCTATTGTCAGTGTGTGCTATATTCCCATACAGGTGTACACAGTGACCCTCTATTGTCAGTGTGTACTATATTCCCATATAGGTGTACACAGTGACCCTCTATTGTCAGTGTGTGCTATATTCCCATATAGGTGTACACAGTGACCCTCTTTTGTCAGTGTGTTCAATATTCCCATATAGGTGTACACAGTGACCCTCTATTGCCAGTGTGTTCAATATTCCCATGTAGGTGTACACAGTGACCCTCTATTGTCAGTGTGTGCTATATTCCCATATAGGTGTACACAGTGACCCTCTATTGTCAGTGTGTGCTATATTCCCATATAGGTGTACACAGTGACCCTCTATTGTCAGTGTGTTCAATATTCCCATATAGGTGTACACAGTGACCCTCTATTGCCAGCGTGTGCTATATTCCCATATAGGTGTACACAGTGACCCTCTATTGTCAGTGTGGTATATATTCCCATATAGGTGCACACAGTGACCCTCTATTGTGAATGTGTTCAATATTCCCATATAGGTGTACACAGTGACCCTCTATTGTCAGTGTGTGCTATATTCCCATATAGGTGTACACAGTGACCCTCTATTGTCAGTGTGTGCAATATTCCCATATAGGTGTACACAGTGACCCTCTATTGCCAGTGTGTGCTATGTTCCCATATAGGTGTACACAGTGACCCTCTATTGTCAGTGTGTACTATATTCCCATATAGGTGTACACAGTGACCCTCTATTGTCAGTGTGTGCTATATTCCCATATAGGTGTACACAGTGACCCTCTTTTGTCAGTGTGTTCAATATTCCCATATAGGTGTACACAGTGACCCTCTATTGCCAGTGTGTTCAATATTCCCATGTAGGTGTACACAGTGACCCTCTATTGTCAGTGTGTGCTATATTCCCATATAGGTGCACACAGTGACCCTCTATTGTCAGTGTGTGCTATATTCCCATATAGGTGTACACAGTGACCCTCTATTGTCAGTGTGTTCAATATTCCCATATAGGTGTACACAGTGACCCTCTATTGCCAGCGTGTTCTATATTCCCATATAGGTGTACACAGTGACCCTCTATTGTCAGTGTGGTATATATTCCCATATAGGTGCACACAGTGACCCTCTATTGTCAGTGTGTTCAATATTCCCATATAGGTGTACACAGTGACCCTCTATTGTCAGTGTGTGCTATATTCCCATATAGGTGTACACAGTGACCCTCTATTGTCAGTGTGTGCTATATTCCCATATAGGTGTACACAGTGACCCTCTATTGCCAGTGTGTGCTATATTCCCATATAGGTGTACACATTGACCCTCTATTGTCAGTGTGTGCTATATTCCCATATAGGTGTACACAGTGACCCTCTATTGTCAGTGCGTGCTATATTCCCATATAGGTGTACACATTGACCCTCTATTGCCAGTGTGTGCTATATTCCCATATAGGTGTACACAGTGACCCTCTATTGTCAGTATGTGCTATATTCCCATATAGGTGTACACATTGACCCTCTATTGTCAGTGTGTGCTATATTCCCATATAGGTGTACACAGTGACCCTCTATTGTCAGTGTGTGCTATATTCACATATAGGTGTACACAGTGACCCTCTATTGCCATTGCTCGTCACGATATGGCTGAAATATTGCCGATGTGACGTAAAGCACTACCTCACTCACTCTATTGCCAGTGTGTGCTATATTCCCATATAGGTGTACACAGTGACCCTCTATTGTCAGTGTGTGCTATATTCCCATATAGGTGTACACAGTGACCCTCTATTGCCAGTGTGTGCTATGTTCCAATATAGGTGTACACAGTGACCCTCTATTGTCAGTGTGTGCTATATTCCCATACAGGTGTACACATTGACCCTCTATTGCCAGTGTGTGCTATATTCCCATATAGGTGTACACAGTGACCCTCTATTGTCAGTGTGTGCTATATTCCCATATAGGTGTACACAGTGACCCTCTATTGTCAGTGTGTGCTATATTCCCATATAGGTGTACACAGTGACCCTCCATTGTCAGTGTGTGCTATATTCCCATATAGGTGTACACAGTGACCCTCTATTGCCAGTGTGTGCTATATTCCCATATAGGTGTACACAGTGACCCTCTATTGTCAGTGTGTGCTATATTCCCATACAGGTGTACACATTGACCCTCTATTGTCAGTGTGTGCTATATTCCCATATAGGTGTACACAGTGACCCTCTATTGCCAGTGTGTGCTATATTCCCATATAGGTGTACACAGTGACCCTCTATTGTCAGTGTGTGCTATATTCACATATAGGTGTACACATTGACCCTCTATTGTCAGTGTGTGCTAC